CGTGATTATTATTGTTATCATTGTCATTATCATAAGTATTAGTATTAGTATTATTGCTATTACTATTACAGTTATTATCTTTCTTATTATATTATATATTATCATTATTATAATGATGATAATATAATGACATGATTATTATGAATGATGGTAATAATGATAGTAATAATAATAATGATAATGATGATGAAAATATAAATGGTAATGATAATGATAATAAAGGTAATGATAATAATAATGATAATGATAATACTGATGGTGAAAATAATGATAATAATAATAATGATAATGATAATACTGATGGTGAAAATAATGATAATAATAATAATGATAATAATAGTGATGATACAAATAATTATTATTTTCAGATACGGCTTCTCCCACCGCCCACAACACGCCCCAGGTTCCTCCAAGGCTCAAGACAACCGACTGAAGACGTTCCTGTATTCCCCGCAAGAAAAACCGGTGCAGACGGCCCCCAGCACTCCTAAGGCAGCCATCAAACACGTCACGACAAGTTCCGGACCTGTCGTGGTCAAGCAGCCGTTCAGACCCCAGAGACAGGCTTCTTATTACAACGAGGTCTATGCGTGCGTGTCCGATAAGACTGGTTGGGGTGTGTTGTGTGTGTGGGGGGGGGGGTATGATGAGTGGGGGTGTAGGTGTGGGTATAAGTTCGTACGGTGTGGATGGGATAGGTACAAGTGGTAAGCGGAGGGTTATATGAAATACACATTCCTGCGTGGTCACATACACACACAAATACACATAAAACAAGCAAACACACACACAAACAAACACACACACACACACTAAATAATAAGCACACGCGAACACACTGATACTTCAAGCATTTCATCTTGCAATTTTGGTAAGATCTTTGTGATAAGAATGATAATGATGACAATACAGTAATAATGATAATGATTACAATGTTAATAAGATGATGATGATAACAGTAATGATAACGATTATAATATCAATAAGACAATGATGATAACAGTAATGATAATGATAATATTAATAAGACAATGATGATAGCAGTAATGATAATAATATTAATAAGATAATGATGATAACAGTAATGATAATGATAGTAATATTAATAAGAAAATGATGATAACAGTAATGATGATGATAATAATAATGTCGATTATGATAACAATAATAATAATAATACAGTTGATAATAACAAAAATGCTGAAGTTAATGATCATCATAATAATGATACTGATAACAATGATAATAGAAATGATAATGATAATGGTTATGACAGTAATGTTAATGAGAAAAATTAACAATAATAATGACAATAGAACTGATAAAAATCAGGATAATGATATCAGTAATGATAATAATAATGATGATAAAGATAATGATAATAACATTAACAAAATGATAATACGAAAAATGAGAATGATAACAATAATAATGGTAATAACAGCAAATAATAACAATGAAAATGATAATTATCGTTTACTACCACTATCATTTTCATTGTTATTGTCTTTGCTGTTACAATTATCATTTTCCTTGTCCATTTAATCCACGTTTGACTCGATCCTGAAAGCAGACGTCAACACACCTCGCTTCAAGAGAGTCCAAGACAGACAAATGTCTTGAATTTCCGTGTTCTTTCCTCTAGTCGACATCACGTAGGAGGGGGGGAGTGGGGGGTAGGGGGGATATCGGGTTTTACCTTTTACCTCCTGCGAGATGGCGCTGGAACGTGGAATAATACGATATTTATGACCTTTTGATAGGATTCTTTTGATTATCATTATCATGGTTATTATTATTATTGTTAGTGTTATAATCATTATTGTTTTTAGTAAGTAGTAGTATCATTATCAGTATCAGCATCATTATTGTTATTAATGTCATAATTTTTATCATAATTCATGTTGTTTATAATATTATTGGTATCAATATTCTTTTTATCATTATTTTTATCATTACTAACATCATTATTTTTTATCACACTTTCATCATTGTTTTTTATCATTACAATGATCATCATTTTTTTTATCAATATCATCATTATTATCATCATTATCGCTCTCATTGCCGTTATCATAATCACAATAGCAATAGTAATGACGATGATAAAGCTACTACTACTATTACTACTACTACCACTACCACCTCCCCCCCTCCCCCTCCCCTTGCAGGATGGAGGGAGACAAGTGGGGCCGCGAATACTGCAGGACCTCCTACTGCTCCATCATGCCCTCCTCCAAGTGGGCCCACTGCTGCGACAACTACAGGAAGTGCTGTGCCTATGTCCACCATACGCAGGACAAGGACATGAAAAGTAGGTGTTTGTGTTTTGTTATAATTACTCTTTGGTTGTTATTGTTGTTGTTGTTTTTTGTATGGGTTTTGTTGTTATTTTGTATTTGTTTTTTTTTATGATTTTATGAACTTTATCTTCTGTATATATCGTTATGTTTATTACTACTGTTATATCATAAAGTGCTTCTTCCATTATCATGTTTTTTTTCGTTTTTTTTCTTAATTTCCTAGATCCCTTTGCTTACGAAGAGATTTCGATTTTTAGCATCCCGTTGAGGCCGCCAAGGTGTGTTGATTCTTCTGTTTATGTTCTGTTTCATAATGATTTTAAATACTCTTCATTTTGCATGTATTGTTACGTTCTGTTTGCTTAATGTCTTTTAACAGTCTGTTTATCTATGTTTATATTTTCTGCTGTTTAATGTTTTTATGTGATTTTTTTCTAATTTATCCATCTGTTTAATTGTTTATTTATATTCATCTGTTTGATTATCTTTCAATTTTTATTTTTATGTATCCATTTGATAATCATTCTTTTAACTAAATGATGGACGTAACGTATCGTGTAATAGTAACAGAATTTGGAAGTATATAAAAATAAACAGGCAAACATTTACAAACATACAAATACGCATAATAAACACAACAAACACGCGGGCACAAAGAGGCGAAAACAAATACAGATAAATAAGCACACACGGACTTTCCTTCCCAAAACGAAATAACAAGCCTTGCCTCCGAGCAGAATTCGCCCCATACCCCGAGTGAGCCCGAAGGAGGTGCAGGCCGACGAACCCCAGGCGAGCACCCACCGACCCACAGGCACAGACCAGCTCCCTTCCGAAGGACCCCAACCCCCACCAGAGGCAGCAGAGACCCCACAGGGCAGCCCCGCCCCGAAACCCCAACCCTGGCGAGACCACAAGCCCGACAATTATACCGCGGGACCCGAGACACCGAAGGACCGAACCCGAGACAGCTCCTCCGCACTCCCGACGCCCCAAGAACAGACGCCAGACGACCCCCAGCCTGCAGAGGATCGCCGTCTCAGATACGACGTCGACCGAGGGACGCCCGAAGAAGGGACGGAGTCTTCTCCTATCGTCGTCCCTCTCCCTTCGGAAACGCCTGTCCTCGATCGGGCCTTGGACACCTTCAACGACGTGTAAGTGTTTTCCTTTTCGACGTGTAAGTTTTTTCCTTTTCTTCGTGTAAGTTTTTTCCTTTTCTTCGTGTAAGTTTTTTCCTTTTCGACGTGTAAGTGTTTTCCTTTTCGACGTGTAAGTGTTTTCCTTTTCGACGTGTAAGTTTTTTCCTTTTCGACGAGTAAGTGTTTTCCTTTTCGACGTGTAAGTTTTTTCCTTTTCGACGTGTAAGTTTTTTCCTTTTCTTCGTGTAATTTTTTTCCTTTTCGACGTGTGAGTGTTTTCCTTTTCGACGTGTAAGTGTTTTCCGCCCGACTTTAGCTACTTAAAAGCTCATTATAAGTGTCCAGTGCTACGTATAACTAAACGGTTAAATACCTTTATGAAATTTGACAACTAGGCTAACGAGTAAAAAAAAGAAATACCTAATTATAACCACACAAAAATGGTGGTTATGACATAAAAATATAATAAACAAATATATTCTTAAAGGTAATCATAAAAAACATAGTTATTTGATAATAGAATTTTATTTATTCATCTGCAAGCACCCTTCTCTCTACTTCCCCTCCTGCCTTCCCCAACCCCAAGTTATGCCCCTCCTTCTCCCCTCTTCTTCCGTTTCTTCCGTTTCTTTCCCTCACCTCCCCTCCTGTCCCCTCCCCTCTCCTCCCCTCTTCTTCCGTTTCTTTCCCTCTCCTCCCCCCTTCTCACCCCCCCTCTCTCCCTCTCCCCTCGCCCACCCATTCATCATTCTTTGCATTCACCCCCATCGCACCCCCCCCCCCTCTCCCGCCTCTTCCCCCATACTTCAGTTTATCGTCTTTATCTCACCCTACCCCCTCCCCTCCCCTAGGACCCCCTCCCTCCCTCCCTAACCTCATCCCCACCTCACTGATACCTCTCCCCCCCCCCATCAGTCTCACCCTCATTCCCATCACTCCCTCATCTCCTAGTCATCTCCCTATTTATCTTCGCCCCCTCCCCCTCCCCCTCCCCACCACCCCCACCCCTAATACCTACCCTGACTCCTACACCCCCCCTCCTCCCCCTTCCCTCTTCCCGACACCCATCACCCCATCACCCTTCATACCTTTCTATCCCACCTATCCATCCCACCCCCCATCATGCAACCCACACCCAACCCCATCCCCCCATCCTCCCCATTCCCCCATCATGCAACCCCCCACCCCACCCCACCCCTACCCCCTATTCCCCCCATCATGCAACCCCCCACCCCACCCCAACCCCAACCCCATCCCCCCTATATCCCCCCACCCCACCCACCCCTATCCCCTTATCCTCCCTACCCCCTCTATATCCCCCCCTATTCCCCCCTATCCCCCATCATGCAACCCCCCACCCCCACCCCTACCCCCTATCCCCCCATCCCCCACCCGACCCACCCCTATCCCCATATCCCCCCTATATCCCCCCTATCCCCCACCCCACACACACACACACACACTAACCCGCCCCGCCCTCTGCTTCCTCCCCGCCAGTGTTGCCAAAGAAGAAGCGCGGACGCTGCAGGCCGAGATACTGCGCCATTCTCTCCCC